ATCCTGCACTTTCCCGTCCAGGAAGGCGTGAAAACGGAGAACGAGCACATCGACGTGAAAGTTACCGGGCAGGACGGCTCCGTGGTGCAGTTCAGAATAAAGCGGCACACTCCGCTGAGCAAGCTCATGAAGGTGTACTGCTGCCGGCAGGTAGGCGCGGCCACGGCCCGGGGGCTCCTGCGGCCCCGGGGGGCTCCCACGAACCCCGGGGAAGCCTCCCCGTGCTGGTGGAAGCCTCGTCGCTTCTCTGCCCGCATCGTGGAACATGCTTGTGGGCAGGACGAGGGTGTTCAGGTGTGTGGGAGAATGAGGAGCTGGGATGCTGGCAGCTCCTTGGTGCGGAGCTCTTCTCAATCGGTGAATGGAAGCCGCCTCTTCCTCCTCAGGTGCTCCCTAGTGTTCCGCGGGATTTACAGAAATTCCTCCTCTTCCGATCCTGTCTCTGAAACAATTCACTGACCCTCAGTCCTGTCATCTCCAAAAACTTGATCAACTTTGAGCGCATTTGAAAAACGACACAAAATGAATTATACTATGCCACAGCTTCTTCATGGGTTCTTTCCTCCTCCCTTCCTGTGTCTCCTGATGCCTATTGCACAGTTGTGGCCACTGTGTTGCACAGGTGTCCACAGGCTGTTCCTTGAACAGCCTGAACTGAACAGCATGTATCCCCACAGCTCAGTTCCTGATTCTGGAGCTCACAATGCCTCTGCTTTACGCATGCGAATGGCTTTGGAAACAGAGTTGGATTTTGTTTGCCCTTATCTGTTACTTGCAGGATCCTTTCTTCACTTATTCAGACTCTGCCCTGCTCTGTGCCTGCTGCACCCTCACACCTCTCTGGGTTTTTTGAGAGGTACAGGGAATTTTAGCATTCCTGTGTGTGGATCATACGGATTTTGAAGGATTTTAGAGGGCAGAGCAAGGTTGTTAATCCCTGATGCAGGGAATAAAGGCATCCTCATGTGATTAAGTTGTCAGAACACAATTCAGTAGTGTGGTAATTCAGGTTGTAAGGGCAGCACAGTTACCAGCATTTGACCATCCTTAGTGTAGACAGCAAGACAGGTGTGCTCAGCGTCCTGGTGGTTAAATCTTAATCAGAGAATCACAGAATGGTTTGGGGTTAGAAGGGAATTTAAAGCCCATCTCGTTCCACCCCCTGCCATGGGCAGGGACACCTTCCACTATCCCAGCTTGCTCCAAGCCCTGTTCAACCTGGCCTTGGACACTTCCAGGGATGAGGCAGCCACATCATTGCTCCTCTGGGCAACCTGTGCCAGGGCCTCACCTCCCTCAAAGGGAAGAATTTCTTCCTAATACCTAATCTAAACCTATTTTCTTGTTATCCCCTTTATCTTTTGAGTGTTAATTTTGTTAACGTGTTCTGACAGTAAATCCATGAATACTTAGTTTGGATTCAGAAACACAAGAGTGGTTTCTCATATAGAACTTTGAATTTGCAGGGCTTGTCAATGAGGCACATTATGTTCCTGTTTGATGGACAGCCAATTAAAGAAGAAGACACACCTGCACAGGTATGAAAAACACTCTTACTGCAAATTGCTACACAGATATTTGGATTGCTGTATTGCTGATTAGGAGCAGGGAGCCAAGTGCTTTCCTCACCACGTGTTTTTCAAGTTTTCTGTATTATTTATAAATTTCATATTTTTAAAATGTTAAAATAATTCCTGTGTTACTCCCACAGCTGGAGATGGAACACGAAGACACGATCGAAGTGTACCAGCAGCAGACAGGCGGAGGGTGCTAAGACACAGCATCTTTTGGAGAACAGTTTGAGGATCCTCATCACACCTCACTCTCTTGTCTGCGTGCACAAGTCAAAATAGTATCTGCAGGGACTGAGCTGTGTCTGAATTTAACCATTTGAAGTTCAGATTGTGTGTTGTCTGTTGTTAGCCTTTCTTTAATTTTTTTTTTTTTTTTCTTTCTTTAAACTTGTGGTCTAAGCATTCATCCGTGTGTTGGGACACTGAGTGTTCATTCCTGGCTCTGGTTGGTCTTGCCCTTCTGTTTCAACTCAAGTTATATAAATAGTTCAATGTATTTTCATGCCAAGTGTGAGTGTAAAAGTTTCCTTTTAAGATGCACCCAAGAGAAGGAACAGAGATACAGGTTTTAAGTTTTTGGCTCATATTAAAAATTTAGTCAGTCCCTTGGGCAGCATCACACCTTTGACTGGGGCTAGAACACAATACAATGCCTAGAATAGAGTTTAAATACTCCAGGTTTACATGTGTTTTTTTCATATTATGATAAAGGAGGCCAAAATGTACTTTTTAAATGCAGAAATGGTATTTTTTTTTGTCCTGCACTATTGCAGAACTGGAGGTAGCAGGGCAGCTGGTCCAAAAACTCAATGCTTGTGATAGAGTAGCTGTGCTTTTTTGTTGTGCAGCTTTATGAAAATCCCATCACTGAAATTCCAGCTGTTTGCTGAGGGCTGGGTGGCATCTGTCACTTTGCCCTGCTCCCTTGACTCTTTCTCTGTGGATATTGGACGTCTGTGGCCTCAGGTTTCTTTTTAATACTTCTTTTTGGTAGATAAATTTGGTAAATGAGGAGGGCAGGGGAAATGCCTTTTAATGTCACCAAACTGTGCAGAAGAGCTAGTAAGTGAGGGGAGACATTTAGGTGTCTTCAAAATAATAAAGATAATAATAAACTGTTCTCCTGCCTCTCCAGCCTTACTGAGGTTTAATTATTTGTGTGGTGGTTTGGGTTCCATGAATCCTGTTCCAAAGGAGTTTTAACTCAGGTTGTCCTGCTGCTCCACGGAATCATAACCAGCCTTTTTTTTTTTTTTCCCATTTGTTCGCATTAGCTGTGCTGAAATCTGGCTGGAAAGGCCCCTGTTCCCTTTTCCATGTTGGTGGCGAGCTGGGGTGCGCTATCCCGCGGCTCCCGTTGTGCGTTCCCGGATTTCCACATTAACGTGCGGCCCTTTGCTGTCACCCACAGCAAATCCAGTCTGGGGCCGCGCTCCTGCCTCTCGCTCTCTGCGCCCCATCCCGGGGGAAACGCCGTGTGGAGGCTGCTCCAGGGAATGCGCAGGGCGTGCCCAGCCACCAACCCCCGCGTGGGGCATTTTGCGTATTCTCCTGTGTCCTCCCAGCGCAGCGGAGCAGCTGCCGCGCTCCCGGCGCTTCCCACAGGGAATTCCCGGTGCGCTCCCGCACCCCGCCGCACCCCGGCAGGAGGACTGAGCGCTACCATAGAGGCGACACCGCGGGATAGAGCGCCGCCCCCACCCCGCCCAGCCGGCGGCCGCTCTGGCCGCGCACCCGGAAGCGGCGGCGGG